TAAATAAAGATATTGTGTCCATCTACAACTAAAAAAAAGATAATATGAATTAGATGATTGAAAGTTAATCTTAGAGCAACAGGAAATCATGATGTTTAACCAGATGAATGGATGTAATTTGTAGTTTAAGAAGAAATATTCTAGCTTTAGTCTGGCAAATATGTCTGTAGCAGGGAGGCTGGTTGTAATGTAGACTATAAAAGAGTCTAGAGTAGGAGATAAATAGAAGATAAAATTAGAATGCATTTGAATGATGTTTAAGAGTCCAACCACTGTAACATGGTGACAGGTTAGGTGTTGGGGTTGAGAGTAAAGAAGGAATAGATTGGGCTTCTTTTGGACTAAGTGACAGGTTGGGCCTTCATGAGGGCATAATACACAGTAGAAAGCTTAGTATTCATTTACTTGGTAGTGATGCTGGCCCATCCTCTTACGGTATTGTGGTCATGGATTTACAGGTTAAAAAATCAGAGAAGAACTCACTAAAATGTATACATATTTGAATTATATGTGTGTGTGTGTATATATATATATATCTCAACAATGTGGATGTGTGTATCAACATTGATCTCCTTAAAATTAATATTTTATTTTATTTGGTTGGCTTTTTCATATGAAAAGTGAAGTCTCAGTATCAATTTGTTTTCTACTTTTATTTATTTATTAGAAATAAGAATGACACACTGTTTTAGTTACCTTTTTTGCTGCTGTGATTAAAAGCCCTGACAAAAACGATTAGAGGAGGAAACATTTATTTGGGGGCTTATGGTTTCAGAGGTCCATAGACAGCCAACTCCATTCCTCAGGGCTCAAGGTGAGGCAGAACATCAGGAGAAAAGCAGTTCAGGACATGACCACTAATAAGCAGAGAGAGAGAGAGAGAGAGAGAGAGAGAGAGAGAGAGAGAGAGAGCTCTTCTCACCCAGACAAAATATAAGCTGGAAACCCATGCTCCTAGGGACCCACCTCCTCCAGCCACACTCAACATGCCCATGGTTACCATCAAGTTAACTCTATCAGGTGACTAATGTACTGATTAGATTAAGACTCTTATAACCCTTTCATTTCATCTCTAAACTTTCTTACATTGTTTCACACATGAGCTTTTGCCAGACACCTCATATATAAACTATAACATTCTACCCCTTGACCCCAAAAAAGTTCATGTCCATCTCACAATGCAAAGTACATATAGTCCATTTCCAAGAGTTGCCATAATCTTAAGAGTTTTAGCATTGACTGAGAGTCCAAGTCCAAAGTCTCCTCTGAGATTCAAGGCAAACTCACAGCATGAACTCTTGTAAAAAATCAAAAGTAAGTTACATATATCCTAATATAAAGGCACAGAGTAAAAATTTCTATTCCACAAGGGAGAAATAGGGGCTTTGAAAGAAGGAATGGGATCAAAGCAAGACCAAAATCCAGTTCTGGGCAAATAATTCCCACAGCTCCACATCCAGCATCTCGGGCACATAGCATCATGGTGTTTCCAGAGGGCTTGTGCAGCTCCATCTCTACAGCTTGCCTGGTTGCAGCCCACGTGGCCTCTCTGTGGATTCACCTCTGCTCAATTCCTGAAACTTTCCTCAGCAGATGTTCCACATTATTGGCATTTCTTAATCTTGGGGGTCTCCACTGCAGCTTTGGTTTTCTCCTCACAACTCCATGCATCACCCTCTAGGAGCAGCCTGCGGAGACTCTGACCCTGGAACACTGCCTGGCCTCCTAGGCCTTCCTTTGAAATTGTGGTGGAAGCCTCCATGACCCTTTAATCCCATCATTCTGCTTTCCTGTAGAACCAGTACCACATGGTTGTCACCAAGGCCTGATGCTATCTTGAGCCAGAGCCAAGCTTCCATTGACCACAGCTGCAGTAGTCTTTTAGTACCTGGTTGGCTGAGCATGGGGAAGCAACTTCCTAGGCCACCCTGTGCAAGCAGGGTGCCCCACTCATCTCAAAGGAATTTTTACTTTTCTTCCCTTGAGCCTGAGATTGGTGTGATCTTGCCAATTTTTGAGATCCTTCAGATCTAATCTTTCTAAATGTCTCTCTGCAGAGTTTTTGGAGATTTGTTAGTGGTTATAATGTCTATAACAACCACATATTCCATAGTCCCAGTTTTACTCACAGTTTTCTGGTGGAATTGCATATTTTTCAAATCTTTCTATTCCTGATTATCATAATAAACTTGCTGAAATCTGCCAGTAATATCCATGCTGCTTCTTGAATGTTATGCTGCCTAGACATTTCTTCCACCAGATTAAGAAATACCTCATCTTTAAATTCAGCCTAACAAAGTCTTAGGACCTGGGTAGAATGTAGACAGCTTCTTAGCTAGAACATAACATGAATGTCCTCTAGTCAAGTCATCAATAGCTGTCTTCTTTTTCCTCTGATAGCTCATGAGCCCACCATTGAGGATCCACAGTCCATCAGCATTCTGGTCTTCTGAGCTCCTACCAGAATCGAAAGCTTTTCAAGCTTGCTTGTCTGAACTTTCAAAATTCCTCCCACAAACTTCAGAAAGCTTCTGAACTACATGATCAGGTTAGTCAAAGCAATGCCCCCATTTTTCCGTAGCAATTTCTGTTTGAGTCAGCTTTTTTGCCACTGTGACCAAAAGACCTGACAAGAACAATTAGAAGAGAAAAAGTTTATTTGGGGACTCACAGTTTCAGAGGTCTCACAACATAGATGGCCGATTCCATTCCTCTTGGCTCATGGTGAGGCAGAATATCATGGTAGAAGAGTGTGGCAGAGGGAAGTGGCTCAGAATACGAAGACCAGGGAGCAAAGAAAGAGACACCAGGACAAAATGTAAACCCCACCTCCTCCAGCCACACCCTACCTGCTTCAGTTACCACTGAGTTAATCCTTAACAGGGAATTAATTAACTGATTGGGTTAAGGTTCTCATAACTCTTTAATTTCACCTCTAAACCTTCTTTCATTGTCTCAAACATTGGGTTAAGGTTCTCATAACTCTTTAATTTCACCTCTAAACCTTCTTTCATTGTCTCACAATAAGCTTTTGCTCATAATTAACACACGCGCGCGCACACACACACACACACAAACACACACTTTAATAGAATGTCTGTTAAATTAAGTTTCTATTGTTGATTTTTCTTTTGCTTATTGGTTTTCAATGGATTGTTGTACTTTTTCTTATTGATTTTAAGCTCCTTAAATAGTAAAAGATCAGATGTGTTTATTCTATGCATTGCAAATATTTTTACCAGTCAAATGCTTAACGAGTTACATACAGAAATTCTTAATTCTTATTTAGTCAAATTGGTCAATATTGTCTTTTATGGTATCTGCATTTGGGGAATTTTTAGAAAAGACTTCCCTGTTTCATAATTCCTTGAATGTTATTATTTATTTTATCTAATATTTTCATGTCAGCATGTTTAAAATCTTAAATATTTAATTCATTGTGGAATAGACTTTGATGGAAGAAGATAAGGCTCCAAAACACCTATGCATAGTACCAACTTAATTTATTGAGTAACAAGTAACGTCATTTCCCCTGCTATTACACTGTTTTATCATAAATTGAATTGTTGTACATGGTTATGTCTGCTTTTAGTTTCTTTTTTTAATAATATTCCTTTATTGATTGATTGATTGATTGATTTAAAATTTTGTTTTTATTAGTTGCTCAAAACACTACAATGATCTTGACATATCATACATTTGATTCTTTTGGTTTCTTTATTCTCTGCTATTGAGCCTATATATATCAATGGCTAATCCAAACTGTTTTAATTATTGTGATATTATAATACATATATATTTAATATCTGCTGAAGCTAGTCCCATTCATTCTTTCATTTTAATATATATAGCTTACATGTTTACTTTTCACACAAACTTTAAGATCAAATTGGCTTGGGGAAAAAAAAAAGAAACATTTTGGTATTTTTTTTTATTGATATAATTTTGTTCTCAGATTTATAGAATAGTTTAGGGAGCCTTAGTAGTTGTTAGCTAAGAGAAATATCTCTACTTGTTCCCCCATTTTTTCTCCTTTCTTCATAACATTGAGCACTTGATGATTTTTATTTGAAAGAAAGAAATTTTTTTTTAGATGAGAGCTTTAGAGTTGGTCTTTGATTTTCACATATCCATCTCATTTGCTAATAATTTTTGCTTCCAATCCGAAAAAAAAAAAAAAAAAAAAAACTTTTTCCTTTCTCTTTTCTAATTGCATAGGCCAGTAACTCCAGAATATTGTTCAACAATAGTGATGAGTGTGTACATTCTTGTTTTGTTTTGCTTTCCCTTGCTTCACTGGCATGCTTTCATTACGTATTTAATAAATAAAACATTTTACCAGCTTTCAGCAAAGATACCAGACAGTTTCTGTACTTTCCAATTCTGGATTTTCTTTACTCTCATTCTTTGTACATTTAGTTTCAACCCTGAAAATTCCCTTCATTTGTTTAGAGATAAAAAAAAAAAAAGTAACGTTTTTTAGCTATTGCTTATGAAGGACAAAATAGTGCTAGAGGGTAGGCAGGAAAAGGAGCTGGTTAAACAACATAGCAACAGCCCAGGCAGAGGGTTAGAAAAAGTTCCTTCGGGACAAGGCCGTGTCCTCAGTCACTCTACAGAAGGAAGCACAGCATCGTGGGGAGGAGTCGCGCCACCCCGCCCTCTGCCCCCTGTTAGTGCCACCCGCGGAGATGAAATGTGAGCCTGGGTGGCCCGGACGCCAGAACAGCCGCCTCCCTCAAGTGCAGTGGGGAGGGACAAAGAGTCCTCAGTCCCCAGCGCGTCGGGCCACCGCGCACCAGCCGGGAGTCCCGCACCTCTCACGCACGCGACGCAGACAAGCTCTCCTCGGAGGTTGGCTGGGTCATGGCCAGGTCCCCGCTTGGCCGGGCTCTCAGGAGCACTGCTCTCTCCGTCTGACCGCACTCCATCCTCCCGTGCCCTCCGGTACCGCGCGCTCCTTTAACTCCAGCCTCGGTCCACATCGTGCGTCCGTCCTGGCGCGCAGTCTCGGGCCCCCGGCTTGGATGGACGCCCTGAGGCTGCCCGGGCATCCAGGGGTCTTGCTTCCGAAGTTGGTCCTGCTTTTAGTCTACGCAGGTCAGTGATGGAGGGCGGCGGGAGAAGGTCAGGGGTCTAGGGACTGTGATCAGGTCGCCGTCTGGGCAAACGCTGGCTGGGCAGGACAGAAAAGGACCTTTGTAGACAGCAGAGCTTGTGGAAGTCCCCGACAGGCGACAGCAGGAACCAGCTCGCTTGAGCCCTCTGCTCGGCCTTTTGTTTTTATATTTTTGATTTTTTTTTTCTTTAACTTTTCTTGTTTGCTTTTTTTCCCCTCTTTTTTCTCTCTGCCAAGCAACTTGGAATCCACATTCCGGTACTTCGGGGATTTCACTCTAAGCAGGACAAAATGTATCAAGGATTCAAGGGAAATCTGGGGCGATGGCGGGGACTAAGGGGTAATGGGAAATCACTTTCAAAAAAACATCTGAAGCAAAGAAGTACTGCTAAATTTAAAAATAATGTAATTTGGTGAATTTCCCATTTTGTTATGGGTAACTCATGGCCCCTTCTATTTCCCATTTTCTGAATATTCCGGGTTTTTTTGTTTGTTTGTTTGTTTGTTTGTTTTTCCTGTTAGAAATAAAAAGCCTTACACTTTTGCTTTTGCTCTTTAGGAGTCACAAGTATTGAAAGCTAGGCAATTGAATGCTCTGACTTAAACAGACAATTTTTGAGAGACAGGAATTCACCCAGAGTCTAATCTGTTTTCTTTGATGTGGTTAAGCACTTGTAGGTGAAGGGCATCTCATTTTCCTCCTTCCATTTACTCTTAGTGAGAATTGCTAATAATTAATGAAGCAAGTGGGTTTTCTTGTTTTGAGATTGATACAGAGCCCTAAATGGCCTTTCATTGGTTATTCAAGTAGAAAGTTAATTACATATGTGGTCCTTGCATCTGTTTGGTTCACAAAACAGTGCCAGCAAAAAGCAAGTTCTTTGTAAAATGTTTTCATGTCTTTAAGTTCCTATGACAAAAATCACAGTCTTACCCATGACCTTGAAATGCTAAGTATATGAATAACATTGCAATTTACCTTTTAAGATTTAAAAAATTCTGCCACTGGAATGAAGATGCTCTTCTACTTTGTTACCTGAGAACCAAGGGAATTGAATTCCTTATCCAACTTTGACAGAAAGGAGTCAGAATAACTTTAATAGAAATTTTTGATCTGTTTATTAAAATGCAAAACTTGTTTTATTGTAGGGGAAATGCTGACTTTCTAATATAGAAATTCATAGAAGTAGAAAAGTCTACTATGAATCTAACATTTTAATCTGATTGCAGTATTCATTTTATTTAAATCCTATGAGGTTTTCCATATTTGATGGAGTATCAATTGCACTCATGTTAGTTTTATTTAAAAATCTCTTTATTAGGTCATTGGAAGCAATGATGATTCTTTCTCCTCCTCTGCTTATCAAAAGAAAATAAAAATACGAAAATAATAAACAAATGAAATTTGCTTAATCCTTGCTTGCCCTTACTCAGACACTTCACTGAACCAGTTTTTTCTTATTCTTGTGGGTATTTTATGCCCTTGGTGGACTGAAAGTTTCTACTTTGCACCCCTGTCCTCTTCCTCTAGTTCCCTCAATGCTAGGTCCCCAGCTCCCCAGGACTCAGGAAACCAGCAAGGCTGGCTGGCTGCAAGGTTGCTTCCTATGGATAGCTGTCACTCCTTCTGTTTCTCTGATTCTCAATCTACCTAGTAAACTACGAAGTAATTGCAAGCCAGTACTAGGTTGTCTTTCATAAGAAATATTTAGTTAATGAGTTCTTTGGTGTTGATTCCTGAAATTCTTATTTCAAGGCCCTTTTAAGCTTGCCCTATTTATTGGAAAATAAGCAGAGATCATGCTCTGAATTTTTTCTGGGCAAGATCTTCAAAGAATAGAGAAGCCCCAGACAAAAGGAGATGGGTTAGGGCATATAGTGGGAACAAAGGCATAAACAATGAGCTGGATATGTTCAATGATGGATAATTCCATTTGGTTAGAACTAAGATATAAAATTGGAAGTGTCTATTGGGGCTAAATGCCAGAACACCACAGAAATAAAAATATTCAAACAGTGTGGTAAATTACCAGTTTCTTGGGACAAAAACCAAAGTAGATAAACCATTTACTTTCTGAAATATTTTCTGCAAAATGAATGCATTAAATTCCACCTTCCAAGACCAGCACGGTGGTGCCCACCTGTAATCCCAGAGGCTCTTGAGGCTGAGGCAGGAGGATCTCGAGTTCAAAGCCAGTCTCACCAATGGCGAGGCACTAAGCAACTCAGTGAGACCCTGTCTCTAAATAAAATACAAAATAGGACTGGGGATGTGGCTCAGTGGTCAAGTGCCCCTGAGTTTTATCCTTGGTGTCTCCTCCCCCCTCCTCAAAAAAAAAAAAATCCATATTCCATGTGGTTTTGCAAATAACACCAAGGTTTCTATACCTGAATTATCATGGTTTACCCTCAGGTCACCTTTGGAAAGATACCCACTGTAGTGTTTATATTATTGTCCAACTCCCACTGCATGATACAAAGACAGGATTTGGTCAAGGTTTTACCTTCTGGGCCAAAGCCAGTGCTTCTACCCCCTCCCTTTCCTTCCTCTCTTGTCCTTAGCTATAGCTTGCAAATGCCATTTGCAAGCAAGTGCTTCAAGCCAGATATGGCTTTTCCTGTACTGCACATTCCTTAAGGAGGGGTGCAGGGTGAGTAGGGGAACCTTCTTCCACATCATGCCTTTAATTAAAAAACCTTTGAAGAAAGTTTGAACTGGCTAATTTTCAGGGATATTAACTTGGATATTAGAAGTGATATTATTTATCTTCCAAGGACAATTGGAGTATTCCATTCTCTCACAAATGAGAAAATGACCCTGTACAGTCCAGAGTAGGATCTTCATAAAATTATCCTCACAATCAGCCAGAGAAAGCAATTAACATCCCAAAATGAGCTTTAAGGTAAGACTGAAAACTCAGTCAGGCAAGGTCATGATTGTGACTGTGTTTGCCATACTATTAAATTTGCCCTTTTCAGTAGTAGCTTAATTCTGGGAAATAGACAAGAATACTGGAAAATGCCATAAAAATAATGGACAATGTGTGACATGATCTAGATGTTTACTGCAGGTATAATCCAGTTTCTTGGCTACAAGATTTTGGGCTTGGTTTCCTGTAATGTTGGCTCAAAATATTTTGATAACACCATGTTCTTATGATAGTAGTAATTGGAGTACAATGTTAGTAACTGAATCTTTGATATCCATGGAGAATTTTAGAGGGTTTCACTGCCCTGGGCATCACTCAAAAGGCACCTGTGAAGTTACTTACATATTGGTATCTTCCTCTGACAAAATAGTGAGGACTTGGCTGTGTCATGATTTTAGTGATTTTTAAGAACATGAAGCAATGTATTCCTGCTAAGTCCAGAGATAATTGACAAGTCTAAAATTTTCAACAAATTGAACAGGCCTAAAAATGAGAGCTACAGAAAACTCATGGAGAAAATTATAAAATACGTAGTCTCGAAAAGTGTGGTATCCATGGGGACTGGAACTGTAGCTCAGTGGCAGAGTGCTTGCCTAGCTTGTGTGAGGCACTGGGTTCAATCCTTAGCACCACATAAAAATAAACAAATAAAATAAAGGCATTATGTCCATCTACAACTACAAAAAATATTCTTGAAAATGTGTGACATCCTTTGCAAAAAATAGCGATGGTTAATACATTAGCTTCTCCCTTGGATATAAATAATACTGTGTTTCTCTCTTTGAAATTTAAGAGTGGATTTCAGTAGAGTTACTGAAAACTTCAAGGTTCATATTTATTAATCTGTAATGTAGAAATAAAATTGAGGGAAAGACAATATGAACTTTCTTACTTGTTCCACAAAATTCATGCATTATTAATGAAGGCAGATGAGCTTTGAGACCTTCTGAACACGTCCCTTTGTAAAGAACTATTTTAGCAAAGAGGGGATTTAAAACCAGTCTAAACTTTCTTTTCTAGATAAATGAATACAGGGATGTGTAGACAAAAATATAATGTTTTAATACTTTAAATGTTATAACTCTTAGGAACTCAAAAATTTTGTATAATTTGTATAATAATGTTATCTTCAAGGACTGAGTTGAAAATGACTCATTTGGTGATTCTTGAATATATAACTTAAATTATCAGACTATTTAATGTTTTTCTAATCATATACCTGAAACTCACACATCCATTATAATTCATTTTACTGATTATAACTCAGTGATAACCTTAAACTGTTGGATAGAAATCACTTTCTACTTAAGTAGAAATCACTTTCTACTTAGGTAGAATAAAGAATTTCCAAAGCTAGTGCGATTTGTACTCGATATTTCTGGTATAAATTTTACTTATTGAAGAATACATTGAAAAAAATAGCAATTTGGTTTTGTTGACTCCCACATATTCTTTTAACCCCCAAACACCCTTTTCCACTTTCCACTTGATGTTTCAAAACTTATGAGTTCTTCCCTGTGATATTAAACTATTAATTATTCACAAATTAATTATCTGTGTGAGCTCTTTGTATAACTAACTCGATCACCTTCCACCTCATTTGTGTTTTGCTGTATGTATGCAAACTGTATTTATGAGGGTAAAAATAGGTGTTAAAGGAAAAACATATAATGCATTGTCATGTCAGTCATACATTGGTTTTAGATTGTCACTCTTTTGGTATGAGCCCTTTCAGAAACACTTTCCATTAGTTGAGGTTGAGAATGTAACACCCTAAAATCAGAAAACCATCAATTTAAAACTATTATAAGAACTCTGTTGACAAATGGAATGGCTGATTAGTTGGCTCATTCATTCATTTCTCCCTTCATTATCTCAGTTAATCAACACCCCCTCCCAATGATTGTGCTTGGTGCAGGAGATTCAAGAATGGTCTTGGCCTTTACCAGCCTGGAGTGTGACTGAGTAGAAAGGCTAGTTTAGATTCTTGCACATGTTATGGGATTCACAGCATGACCATGAAGATACAAGTGTACTGAAAAAGTGATTGTTGACCTACTAAGACATGAATTTGATTTCACAACTCTAACTGCTTTTGTGGTTTCTGTTGTTTAGAGGATTGTCTTGCTCAGTGTGGCAAAGATTGCAGATCCTATTGCTGCGATGGGACCACGCCCTACTGTTGCTCCTACTACGCCTACATTGGGAACATTCTCTCGTGAGTACTGCTCACATTTGGCAATATTGATGTTGTTGGGTTATGTTTTCAAGCGTACTAAATTAAAGATATGGCTTAAAAAATTTAAGATCAGTTGCTTATTTTGATACTGGGGATTGAACCCAGATGCATTTTACCACTGAGTTACATCCCAGCCCTTTAAAAAAAAATCATCTAAATTTATTAATTATTTTTTTTTTTGTGGAACTGGTGATTAAACACAGGTGCACTCCACCACTGAGCTTCCTACCCAGCCCTTTTTATTTTACTTTATTTTTTTATTTTGAGATAGGATCTACCTAAGTTGCTGAGGATCTTGCTAAGTTTCTGAGGCTGGTCTTTAACTTGCCATCCTCCTGCCTCAGCCTCCCAAGTTGCTGGAATTCCAAGTATGCACCACCACACCTGGCCCATGTGGGAATTTTTGGTGTGATGGGGATGTTTCACACCATGTTGTGGTATATTAAATGACTATACATAAGTCAGTGCTTGGAACTATCCATTTACAATTGGTACATTTTATTGTAAAGCTGCCTCAAAATGGTAGATGAGAAACATAATATAATTGGTTATTAGCATAAAATCTTTACTGGAGATATTAAGCACTCATCATTACCTAGTATTTTGTATTATTTGACAAAATGGACAAGTTAGTATAAATTGAAATTAGAAAAGAGTTAAAAATGATATTTTAGGGTTGGAGATAAAGCTCAGTTGGTAGTAGTGCTTTCCTCACATGCACAAGTCCCTGGGTTCAATCCCCAGCACCACCAAAAAAAAAAAAAAAAAAAAAAAGATTGCTTTGTTTCTTAATTATGTGTACTAAATAATGTTTTAAGTAGATCTTATGTAGTTTAAATATTGTCCATGATATGTTTTCATCTGCTGTGGTGAAGGATTTATAAGTTAACATTTGTTATTTAATTATGGCAGGTTTACTTTGCCATCCAGGTATTAATTGTCTAATGCATCCAGTAGATATCAGGGGGAAGAGAGATTATGAATAAAAAGCTGTTGAGATACAAAATATCAATTCTCTGCATAATACTCAGAAAACAGTTTCAGGAACAAAGTTTAGAGGCCAAGATAAGATATGAGTGAGTCATGTAAAATCAAACCACACACATACACACACACACACACACACAAACACATACACACACATTATGAAAACAGGTACCTGCAGGATGTGTTAAGTATTTCACCATAACAAATTAAGAATGTATTTTAGAGCTGCTTCCAAACAAAGGGAAATGAGGAACCAGGACCTGCCTTCAGGATTGAGCTTTTGGAAGAGTATGTGTCAGTCCTCTGCCCATTAACTGAGATAAAGAAGGTAGAGAATTAGAAATTAAAAATTTTCTTGAGTCAAAATCCCCATGGCTTTCAGATGGTAGCAGTGGTCTGGCTGCCAACCTCTTGTTTTGCTTTTCAAGTGAATGTTGGAGTGTTCCCAGTCTGCTTAACTCGTGCCCTTTGAAGACCAAGTGGAAATGGGAAATATTAGGCACTAAGTCACCTTGCCCAGCTATTTTAGGGATGTGACATTGAGCAGGCTTATAACACATCCTCCATTTCCTGAAAATAGAAAACCTGCCACCACAGGAACTTTCTAGAACCAACACTGGGGATCAAATTCTTTTGAATATGGCTTTAAAAAATAAGTCATACTTTCAGATACTTTTGAAGACCATGCACAAACGTCAATATATGCAATTTAAGTATTCTTTGAGAATGCAAATAAACTCTAAATGAATATTTGAATTTTCCCTCATGGAAGATTTGGTAGGAAAAGAGAGTTAAACACATCTTCTACCTTAGAAAACTGTCAGAATGATTTTCACATGAATTTATCAGTTGCTGTTTACAGTTGTATATTTTTAGAATTTAAAGTAATTTAAAATCACTTATTAACAGATTAGAAATTTATTTTTGAGTAATCTCCACATGCCAGATGGTACTGTTTCAGGTGAAACCAGCAGATAATACAGATTTGGGGACTTAGGTTCAGAGATTCTGGGATTGTTTAGTCTTGTCTCCTGGCCCATCTCTCTGTCCACTAATTACATTGTGGTGTGCATAGCGCCCCTGTTTCTTACCTCATAGCTACTTGCACTCTGGTAAATATGCATAGAACATGTAATTACTTATTAATCAGAATATTTTTAAAATTTAAATTTGCAAATGTGCTTTATGTGTGATTTACATTTGCAATCAAATCCATACTCTGATGATGCAGGCTCTAACTAATTTCACCTTTTGATTACAGTAAATCATTAGTTGCATTTCATGTATTTATTTGGGTTATTAGGACCATGTACTCATTATGTTTAGGGAAAAAAAATAATTGTGTTTTGGAAAGGAAAATAAACACAGATGGCATTATATTTCAGGCAGTTAAAATTGAACTTTCTGTTCAAAATAGAAGCCATTGACTGTATCCCTTGCTAAACAATTTCTAGCCAAAAAAAGAAAGAGAGAGAGAGAGACTTTAAAGTGTTTTCCCCACTGGATAAAAAAGAATGCATTTTCAGGATTTCCAGTTATTGTTTAACATTTGAAAAGAGCTCTTAACTCCACCCAAAGCTTTATTTTATTTTTTTAAGTTGTGGGAGGGTGGGAGAGGTGCAGTAGTTAGAAAATAATCAATTCTAAGAATACTTCCAAGAGTCTCTTTCATGCACAATTTTCAAATATTGCCATTTTGGAACTCAGAAACTATGCTCTTCCTCTTTCAAGCATCCAGACCACATTCCTGGCCAAAAAAAAAAAAAAATCAGTTTAATGATGTTAACAGAAAGTTAAATTTTTGTGGTTATCATAGTAATAAAGAAAAAAAAAAGCAATGTACAATAAAATGTTAGATATTTTAAATGAGTAATTTTATAATTCACTTTATTTTTCATTTATTTTCAAAGTAAAAATATTGGATAAGTTTAAAATGAGCTAAAAAACAGTAGAGAATATACTTTGACATATTTTGGACTGTTCCTAAGTTGGTTAAGTTTGGTTCACATGACTCTTCTTGCTGAGGTCACCCGGAAGCCAACCTAGTTATCAGAGTTGAGAGATATTCAGCCCTTGATTCTGTTTACTTCACCTGATTTCACTCTTTTGCAAACTAATCATTAAGATTCACTTTTAAAGAAATTATAGGAGCCGACTTCCATTATTTTTTAGTTGAAAAGTTTTCTTTTACTCAGTTTCCCCCTTCTTTTAGGATATTTTCTATACCAAACATGAGTTACTTTGGGCAGATAAATTCAGGACCCACACCTCAATTTTGTTTCTTGTTTCCCTGAGGAATTTTTAAATTTACTTCTGTCTCCTGAAAACCTTTCAAAATTAAACTTAAAAAATAGAATACCTACTTTTGGTCCTTCCAGTCACAGATACTGACTTCTATATAGGAGAATAATGTTATCTTCCAGAATTTAAGAATAATTTTTATACTCATTGGCATATATTATTTAATCAGTTAATTATTTATAAATGCACATAGAGTGCTTATTACCATGGCATAGCTGGACAAGGTCCTGGGGTCCAAAGATGAATAAATGATACATCTTGACTTCTAAGACCTTGAAATCTAATAAGATAATGTAGCCAAATAATTTTTGAGGTAATCCATGAAGTGTTATTGAAGGACCAGAGAGAAAACAGCCCAGCCTGCTTGTGTGTATGTGTCTGAGTGTGAGTGTGTATGTATATGTGTGTGTGTGTGTATTTAGAATGAAATGTTTAGAGAAGCTTCAGAAAAGGCATTTGATCAGAGTTTTGAAGGAAGAGTAGGAATTTGTATAGATTCACAGTGAAAAAGGGAAGTGTATTCCAGACAGAGAGGCTCCTATATACAAAGGCATAGATAGAAGGAAGGAAGTGATCAGTTGGGAAAAACCCATGTTATTCAGCTTAGTTAAAGGGGGGAGGTTAAAATCTGACTATAACATGGGAATAACTGGGTCAGATACAAGATAGATTCTTTTTTAAAAGTTAATTAATTTATTTTTACATACATGACAATAGTGGAATGCATTATACTCATTATTACCCATTTATAGCACAATTTTTCTTAACTCTGTATATAAAGTAGGTTCTTAACAACATACTTTATTGGCCATTCCTACCAAAATTCCAAAGAAATAATTCAGTCTTTTTCTGATAAAACTAGCCATCTGGTTTATGCAGGAAGCATGCATTCCTAGACACCACTTAGAACCCTACACAAAGGTGAGCAGGCTCCAAGCTCTTATTTACTCCATAGATGAAAAGTTTAGAATGTAAACTTGAGATGTTAGATTATTTGGAAGATTTTATATGGCAAATGTGCAACCTTGTAATTTTTTCTTAAATTTAAGAGATTGTTGACCAGGAGGACAATTACTTGAACATTTAGAAGCATTTGGTATGCTTAAAAATGAGAATTTGGGCCAAGTTGAGAAATAAACAATTTACCACCAGATTGATTCTCAAACATTCATTCAGCAACTCTTCTCCATGAAAGATGAAATACTCTGTGATGAATATGAAAAGGACATTTACATTTTTGCTGCTGATGGAATTTAATTGACATTTCCTAGAGTGTGGATCCACAGTAAAGACATAGTGTATGAAGTACTTTTTAAAATTGGTAGAAGTCAGGGGAAGAAAGGGTGCATCTGAGTGGTTAATTACTGTTATCTAATGGGACAAAATAAAAACAGGACTGTCCTATAAATTAAAGTATTCTGCCATGTGAATAAGAGAATAATTGAATAATTTTAAATATGAACTAGAATTTGACTGTTTTGGACACAATGAGCCAGATGACAAGATACAAGTTTTAATTCACTAACTCAAAAATAGATTTTAGCTTTTCTAATTTGCCATTGTGAAATGCTGATCTGTCTAAGGATTCTTCAGAGCACCATCTGGTCATCATAAAAACCCCCATGGGGGAAAAAAATCAAGAGGAAGAACTAATAATGAAGATCCTGGTGGGATTAAGTTTCTTTTCTTTT